GCAGTAGCAGTAGCACTAGCGGCAGTAGCAGCGGCATTACTAGTCGTCGTCGCTGGCCGCATTGGCAGTGGCAGCGGCAGTAGCAGCAGCAACAGCAGCAACAACTTCAGCACGTGGTTGAAAACAATGCCGCTGCGGGTGACGAAGGTGACGACAACAAAGGTGGCGCTGATATTATCGTAAGAGTCGACCATGCGATCACCCAAAGCTACAGCAACATCAACGTGACCATCACCACCACCAACAACAACTTCAAGTCCAACATCTCATCATTCAAGTCGTCGCCGTCTCTCTGCGGGTCCTGAGAGCAAAGTTGCTGAAAAACCACAAGGAATTCCCATGTGTCCGATTTGTGTCTGTCTTGTCCTGTAATTTCTTGCCACACGGCTCCGCCTGCGAAATTGCTCAGAGGGGCCCGTGAGTACTGCATGTTGCTGTCGGGATTTGGTCTGGTAGGGCCTCTCTTTGAACCTTCGAAGTCGCCAACTTGGAGTCCATTCTGATAGACATGCCGCAGCTGACATGAGAACCCCCGCCCCTGTTGTTTTCAACAATACTCAGCTCCGGGCATTGATATGCACGACTGCTGGGAGCAGAAAGGCCAGGGTCTTTCCGGAGCCTGTTTCTGCGACACCCACCTGGCACATTCAGGCGAAGCAGCGATTGGAACACGAGAGGACGTCCAAAACTCTCTTCTGGGCTTCTAAGTGGCATCCATGTACCAAAGTCCTAAGTGAACTCTTTCCAAGTTGATGAACACGCTAGCCTGCCAACCACGATGTTGCAGCTAACGCACACGCACACGCGCACACACACACAGAGACAAAAAATGTGCATATCTAGTTGGTCATGGATGGATGTGTCTTTGATTTTTCTGCATACAGACAAGGTCTTGAATCTGTCCTCCGCTCTCTCTCCCCCCTCTCCGTCTGTCCTGTCTATATGTCTGAGGGATGATGTGTAGGTCCGAGGCCCCAGGCCATGTCTTTGCCAGACAACGCGATGGGCCAGCCCTGGACCTGGATCGGCCTCGAAGGACCAAGGAACGCAGTTTCTGTTGAGGGCTTACCCATAGGCCCTGAAGTAGTTCCTTTTTGGGGGTTCATATATAGAATCCTATAAGGTAACCCCAAAAAGGAACTACTATGGGGCCTATGGGTAGTTATACAGGATCTTGATACAGGATTCAAAGGGCTCGGACGAGGGCGGGGCTTCCTGACTGTGGTAGTTCGGGTGGCCCAGGACGTGGGACTTGTGCCATGCGCTAGTTTATGGGAAAAGCTGGCCACTACAAACCTTGTCACGTGAGGCTCTGGTTCATGGCACTTTTGCCAGCGACCGTGTATTTGCCTTCCGCACACTGAACTTGAATATCGTTCTCTTGTATAGATGAACAGGCATAGATGAAAAGGCACACTTGCCCATTTCGGCACTTCTTCCTGCAATGCTGGCCTCATACCAAGACCCTGCCACTGCCTGGCTGGGGGGCGGGCGTCGGCTCCTTAAAGCCAGCTCGCTGGATCTGATCGAGGACATAGTCTGGGAACGAGGCCTCGAGATGCGCTCTGAACCCTGCAGCATCCCAAACACCGGCAACTCCAAACCCGGACTCTCCGGCCTCTTCAAACGTCCGAACTGGCTTTGGCACGGCGCTGTCACAATAGATCTCGGCGTCCGCAGCGGCATTTTGGGATCAGAAACCGGTTTTACATGAAGGCTGGACTCAGTCTCGAAAGCGTCGTGCCATGACAAGACAGCATACTTTTCTCCATATAGACGCACCGCTGGCAACAAAATGGTTGGTCAAGCTTGCTTCCTTGAGCCTGCCACGCTGTAACACCCTGCCCATGCCAATCAATTCATTGGCTGACAGGGGGATGGACAAATTGCGCAGAAACGGGTTCTGGATAAGAAGTACCTGCGCATATCCACTCTATTGAATCCGCGAACCCAAAATGTCATGACCAAGCAGATGCATAGCGGCGCAAAGGGCCAGCTGCAAAGTTGGCGTCGCCATCGCCAGGCCCAGAACATCCTGTACGGACCCTCAGGATCGTTCGCAGGGTTGACCTCCTTCTCGCAGGAATTCGCGAGACTGCAAGTGTGGCTGTGACCATCACGTCCCCTTGAGAGGCTCTGCTCGTGTTCCAGCCATGTCAGGATGGCAAAGCGAGTTATATAAGCAAGGCAGCAAGTCAAGGCCCGTTGTTCTGCGACCACCGACCCCTTCGTTGGCTCTTCACGCGCTCTCATCCTTCCTGCCTGTAGACCCGCCACCTCAATAACATGTTCAGCAGCAAATATTGAATCACCGGCGACCATACCATGCGCTTTCACACTTCGCATCTGCTGTGTGGCAGTGTCTATCTCACGAAGAGGCCCACGGTCTCGATGTGGGACGTGAAAGGAAACATATCATAGCCTTGTCTTGCTAGATCCCAATGCTACTGCTAAGCTTCGAAACGAGGCCCTTGAATCGCCGGCAAAGTTTACTATTGGCATCTCGTGAAGCATTTGACGTCGACGAGCTTGAAGGGCTGACCCGCAGGCGAGTCTCCAGCATCCTGACGTACTTGGGTTGTTCTGACTTTACAGTGTCTTTCAGACTGTACATTGGTAATACCCGAAAGTGACCATAGCTTGAAATAACCCCCATTTCGGCTGGTTGACCGACCTGTCACCATGATATCCCAGTTCGACCAGCTCATAGTAACAAGACACAACATTGACACAAACAAACACACACACACACACACACACACACCGTCAATGCTTATGTAGTCAACACTGGCCAAGCCAACCTTTAGTATATGCTACAATGCCTTGCAAAGGTATGAAGGTTATGTAAGTGCTCTGCGAAATCTCGGTACAAACATTGGAATGATTATGAATGGTAGTAGCGATATCATGGACATGCTGCAAAGTTGTAAATGCTGTTGTGGGTTGTTTGCTGCTTTTGCTGCTGCTATTTGCGTTGGTGTGGCTGTTGTTGTTGTTGTTGTTGGCATTGCTGTTGATTTTGCCGTTACTGCTGCTGTTGGTCTTGGTTTTGGCGTCGCTGTTGCTGATGCATTTTGTCTTGCTGCTGTAGTCGTTGTCGTTGACACTGTCTCCGTCACGGTCGCTGCGGCTGTGGGTGTGGGCCTGGGTGTGGTTGCTGTTGCTTCTGTTTTTCTCTTAGCTGGTCATGAATATTCTTCTTGTTCGTCATGTGGTTCTAAATATGACTCCAAATGTTCTTATTGCTCTGTGTGTTGATATTGCTATTCTTGTTGTGGTTGCAGTTGTTGTTGTTGTTGTTGTTGTTGTTGTTGGCGGCAGCGGCGCGGCGGTGGTGGTGGTGGTGTGTGCGTGTGTGGTTTGTTCTCTGATTTTTTGGTGTGTCATTATGTGATGCTGTCTGTTGTTGCAGATGGAATCCGAAACGCAAAGCCTGATAATGCCTCATTCCATTGCAATCGGAAGCTGGCACTGCAATGCTGACAACATTTTCTTGAGCACATTATATAGGTTGTACTGTATGATCGGCGCAAGTCGCAAGTTTGCCACGTGCTCTTGTCCGTACACTTTCATATCTTCTTGCAGAGTTAAACTAAAACTTGCTGCGCTATGGATCTGAATCAAACGAGGCTCGTCGCAAGCCGTGAGCTGAAATGCGTCCTTGCGGAAGGAGCTGTGCCCACAGCCTAGGTGCTTCACTCCATCAGCTTCTAAACCACTGGCATGTCACAGCCACTGCTCCTAATTACTAAAAGCACTAAAGTTGTTGCAGCTATTCCGATTCGTCGCTACTGTACCACTGCCAATGACTCTAGTCTAGTAACCATCAGAAGCTGGTACTACTCCAGAACTGTGGTTGGACAGAGTTTGGAGGGAAGTCGAGGCAAAGCGATCCAAGTGGAGGCTGCTGGTCGAGCAGCTCATGTAGATGAGCAACTTGAGGTCGGGCATGGAACGTATCAAGCTGACGCAGGCGTCGTCCTTCTTGCGGCCCCTCGGAGCTAGGCCAGTGCGAGGCGGATCCACCACTAAAAGGTGCGGGCCCCTGTCGGCGTCGGCGAGCCTTTGCAGAACTTCCTGAGCAACTGCAAGGTACGATGTCCATCGGCCAACAATCGCTCCTGTTCAAACCTATGAGTCTATGAGTCTTTGAGCGTTCTGGGCTTCTTGCCTCGGCGCTTAACCGGGGCCACAATATGCTTATGCTAGACGAAAAAGATCCTGACCAGCTTGGCGTGCAGACGAAGCTTCGTCAGCAGCAAGCGGAGCGAAGCTGACGGCTTGTCTGAAGCTGCAGTCCTCGCCTAGGTCCCGAATGTGCATGTGAGTTATAATTGCTTGAACATGTGTGTCCAACTGCGATGCGCCCAAACCCCCGCCCAGCCTACGATTCCGGTGATGCGGAGTGAGGTGTGTTTCGTGGGTGTCATGGTTGAAATGCGTCAGGGCTTCGGGGTTCAACCTCTGGTGTGCCGCTGAAGCACTTACGACTTCGAGGTCCGGGACGATGTTGCGTGCATTGGCAGCGAAGGGTGCCACACATTTAGGGTTCTCGTCGGAGCTGAGAAGAGCAACAGAAGCCCAGCCACGGCTACTCGCCAACGCGTGCGCCAGACTCAGGCCGATCACACCTTCGAGGCGAGGCAAAGCACCAAACAAAAATCCTAAACATTCTTCATCCCGTCTCCGCCTACTCCGGCGTGAAGCTCCAGCAGACGTAAAGGCTCCTCCACCAGCTCACTCGTCTCTGCGACGAGGCTTTTCATGTTGCCTTACAAGTAGTGGTGGATCGTTCTCCTCTTGTTCGGCTGGTTCGGAGCAGGTCGTGGTTGGGAAGTCTGGAGTTCGAATCCCGAAACAAAACCGACTGGCCCAATCTGGCCCACCCACATGCTCACGAAGCTCACGAAGCTCACGCATCCTAAGCCTTAAGTCATAGCACAGCAGCGGAGGATCTCCTCAAACACGGCGAGGTTGGCCTGGCTTCAGCTATCGAGAGGCTAAGGCCGAGGCCTTGAGAGTCTGTCGGCATGTCGAAGTCTCGGCTTCAAGCCGCTGCCGTCTCACTGATACACCCCGGGTTTGCTAGCAAACAAATGCAAGATTTGCAACACGACTGCGTGGACGGAAGAGCTTTCAATCTTAAACTCTTATGGCTTCGCCGTTGTGTCCTGCACCAGTTGCGGGTTTCATGATGAATTTGATAGTGATGATGATGATGAAGAAGATGATGATGACTGTGATGGTCATTTAATCTGTGTGACTGCTCATGCGACTATGCATCCTAGTGGCATGCGGCATGTCCCAGCCTGTTGGAAGTTAAAGGGCCCGAAGGTGAAGTCGAGGCCATCTAAAGCCTCCCACACGAATCCAGGACGCCTTCCTTTGCTCGGTGGCTTGGGGATGTTCGACTCTGGCGGCCTGGGATCCTGAATGGTTGGACCTTCTCTCTTCCCGCCGCCCAGTCTGCGGCAGCCTCACAAACCCAAGAGCCTTTCGACAGCTTCATCGAACACGTCCGCCAAGCGGCGTCCGCCGGCCAGGGCGCGTGGCCGTGCCAGCTCCCACGCCGAGGTCTCCTTCTCTACAGGGGCTGGGGGGCTCAGGTTAAGGTGTTTGCATCTTTTGACACATCCTTGTTCTCCGTGTGATCCGGTGAAGCATACGCTTGTTTTCCGTTTCGCTTGTCTACTCGGGAGGAACGACATCTAGAATCCATGCTGTCGTAAAGCTGGCATGGGCCATCCTGCGAAAATCAGAGGTCATGGGTCATAGGAGACCGACTCACAAGAAATCTTCAGAAGCCGAACCAGCCCAAGGTTTGCAAACTGTACCCTTTCATACTTTCATGCGACCGGTGACAAATAACGCGTGTTGCAGCAGGGCAGTCATATTCTAGACACTCATGACCCGGATTCCCTTCGGCCGGGTCTCTAGTGCGAAGACGAAGTTCCCCAGGTTCGGCTTAGGCTCACGCCAGTGGATCCTGAAGCTCTCAGAGCACACATGTCCGTCCATAGCCAGTGAGTTTGTACTGTCTAGTGGCACCCGGATGCAACGACAAGGCCCATCAAGGTGCAAAGATTTGCAAGCCTAGAAGTAGCCGCCCGTCTAAAGTTGCCGAAGGCACTTTTGAGCTAGTCTGAGCACATACAGAACAAGCGGATCTGGTGCGCAGCAAATTACGCCAACGCTCCAGATCGAGTGCCAAAGATCTCCCGGTTCATCATCCCACCTGACACTTCCGTCTCTGCATGCTGCTGGTCGGGCTGTATGCAAACTGCGCCAAGTGTAACATGACGAGCTCAAAACAATGACAGCAGCTTGTCAACAGCACCTCGAAGCTATTGCAGTTCCTCCTCCACCGACAGAGTGCAAATTGAATAAGTCTTCCGCCCTCCCCCCCCCCTCTGCTCCCAACCCTTGGTGCTGAACCCATCCAAGCAGCAGCAGCTCCACCAGCCGTTCAAGGGCAGGAATCGCGGGTCCGCGTTTGCGATTCCAGACCAGAACGAGCTGCACTTGATTCGATGCCCTGAGCACCGGATCTTTCTCTGCAGGATATCGGCTTGGGATTGGCTTGTGGGTCCCGGGTTTGCATTGCAGCAAGGGCAAAGATGAAACTTCCACTGAAGATCCATACTCGTCTCGAAACGACTGATTGAAATCAACCTCTTGCAAATTGTAGCAGAACGCAGCTAGCAAAGCCCGACTTCAAGGACAGGAAACCAGCAGCGGATCCATTCCTGACACCCCCGGAGTTTGGAAACGCATAGCCACCAAGATCAGAATCATCACCAGTATATTATTTGAAAAAATCCTTGGGGGGGGTGGGCAATAGATCGCCTCTCCACCGTCAGCTGCACGAAGCGCAGGGCGCCTTGGCTGCTCTGCGCTGAGCTTTTGACGCCGGGCTGGTAGATGGCCAAAGCTTGGAAGCGATCCTGAGGTAAAGGAGGGTACGGGAGTGGGATGCACACAATGTCTGCCATACTTCCTGCTGATTCTCTTGCGCCTCCTGCTTCTTCTATTGACAATGCTGTAGGACTACAAGAGTACAGCAGCATCTTCCCGCCGTCGCCATCACCAGCTCACCATCATCACCATCATCATCATCATCATCATCATCGGCAGCAGCAGCCACAGCAGCAGCAGCTGCTGAGCGCCAAAACTGAACATGTAAATGCTGCTGACACACTGGATTGCCTATGCGCTCATCTTGCGACCGTGTGGTCAAGTCCCTATCTAGACCTCTCTGTGAACGTCGTGGATCCAGGGTCCCTTTGAGCCGCAGCAGCGCAGCCTTCAGGGTGGGATGCAAGGCGGCGCAGCCGAGGGCAGGCAGGACCTCCTTGTGTTGGTCATGAAAGCTTCTGACATGTTGGGCGAGGCTCTCGTATTCCATGGCTTCCCTACGAACCTGTGCCTGCGACACCGGGATGCAAACGGAAGAACACACGAGGCCCACACCACATCATATTGCAGTTCGAAACATAGGAAATCCGACGTCCGGGCTTCTGAAAGAACTGCCCTCGTCTCGAAGCAGTCCTGTGTGCCACGCTTGAAAAGCCCGAGCACCACGCCATCCTCCGCTTCTTGTCTTCTTGTGTCTCTACGGAACGAGTACACACGCACTCACCCACTTGCACCTGCAAGCCACGATAAGAATGCAGGAGTGCTGATGAAAGGCGAGAATCGAAGCCAGCCAAACAGCACGTGAATAAAGGACTGGGGTGTAGCATGGCTGCCGGAACCCGAAAGGCCTTGCTCGGTGCAACCGCGAGCTTTGCACGAGTGCGATGGTCACAGGGCTCGGCTGCGAAAACCTTCGGAAACGGGCTAACTGAGAGATGTGGCATCGGGACAGGGGATCTGTTTGGTCTTGCGATATGATGCGATGTGCAGCTAAGCCTCGCCGCGTCCTGTGATCCCTAAACCGTGGATCTATCTACGTCTCTACGACAAGTTCCTATCTCATGTGCATAAACCCTAGATGTTCAGGCCCTCAGACACAACGCCCAACGAGAGAGACCCTTAACCGGCCGCCGACCTCGGGTGGAGCTCGCTCTGAAGCTCTCCGCCAGTCAGTCAGCCTTCGGACAGCTGGGTGGTGGAGCTGGTAGTCCTTGATGGCGAGACATTGTGTCAGGAGATTTACAAATTTGGATCCGACTGCCAGTTACAAGGTACGGTAGAAAGGGGTCCCTCAGATTCGGAAGTCTCAACCGAGTCACCTCGAGGACATGAGATTTCATTTGGGGTTCCTATACCTATCATGTGGAACCATCTTCAAACTGTTAGATGCAAGCATCAATGCAAAGTTGACCGGGGCTGGTTTCTGCAGTCAGTGCAGCCAGGGCAAGAACTTCCCCTGTGTACTAGTTCAAGAACATCTACACCAAGAACTGGCTGAAGGCTTCAGGTTCAACCTGCCATGTTGCATCGTGGCTTAAACTTAGGTTCCCCAAATAAGAGCAAAACCATCATGCCCGGGGCCTGACACTCTTCGTTGCTGTGCCTTCGCACAGATATCCGCACGAGCATGTTCTCCCGTGTTGCTGCTGCTATGACGACTCAGTATCATGTGTCAAGATCAAGCTTCCTACGTCGTCGCTGCTGGGTCGTCAGGCTAGTGATATTGGGGTGAAAGTAGTGTCCTCGTCGGTCTTGAAGGGGTAGTTCTCTGCTTGCGTTGCGCATGCCTCGGTACACGATCAAAAGGCAAATCAGCCTTCATCTGACTACTGCCCTGGCATGCTGCAAAATGCTGCAATTGAGAGCCTGGCACAACCGTTTTGCGTGCAGCCGGGTGCATCATTAAGTTGCAACGCTCGTCGCCTGTTTCTGCGAGTTGAGATGCTGAGCTACGCAAGACAATTTAGTTGCATGCTGAATCTTTCCTGCCAAACCTACCTCAGCGCCGACGAATTGCTCGCAATCCGAGTGTACATCTACCCTGCGGCATCAGAGACTCGTCGTCTCCCTCGCTTGGCCCCTGCCTTGTCTGCCTGTTCCTTGGCTCGGTCCGGAGACCGATCGACGAAGCGAGTGCCTAAGTTCCCGCACCATCGCAAGCCACGGTTTTCAAGGCTTTTGGGCAGCAGGCTCTGCTTAGATTCTTCCTGTTTGCATGAAGTGTTCGGGGTTTAGCGCTGCACTCTAGCTTGATGAGCAAATCTCCACCCAACGATGCAGCTGCAAATAACAGTTGGTGGCTCTGCTCGGACTGCCACAGTTTTGACACCCAACTTCGCTCGGACTGCCAATGACACCCAACTCCGCTCGCACCACTCGCTGTTCTGACACTGCGAGTGGCCGCTGCGCAGCCTGCTCGTAATGGCATCCACCCATGACGAACGGTCTTCCACCTTGATGTCGATACAAAGGGTTCAGGATAAGCAAGGACTTGGGAGGTTAGGGTTCGACTGCCGGAAGTTGGGGCATTGTCTGGCTGCGAAGCTGATATTCACCGGTCGGGCTGCTATGCTAAACTTAGTGATGCAGGACTGCCCTGTCGCTGGACATACCACGAGACTCGAAGGATGTCTCTTGTGATATTTCAGTCAGGGAGCTTTCCCAAACAACTCTCTGCGAGCGGCTGCACGCATGCACCGCAGCTGAAGGCCCACTCTCGCTGCACCGTATGGATGAGCACAGGGCACGGGGCAACGGCCGCACCGTCCATGCCAGTGTCCAGCACGAAGGCAGGCTAGATAGGAATTGCACCCTCGAGAGGACGCGGCTGCGGAGCCCAGGGTTTGCTGCACTTGTAGCTGGGAAACGCAAGACTACCACGAATCGGACTCACAGGCCTAACCTCAAGCCCAAGAGATGTCAAGTCCGAAACGCCAAACCCCTTTTGTGGCGGAAATCGAACAAACAACCAAAGCAAATGGCAAGTAAGCCTAACGGCAACCACATGTTTGTGCTGCCCATAGTCCATGCTGCGAACATGCAGGCATCGACAATCTTACGAACGAACTCTTGCTGAAGCTTTTGCGGATGTTGCGGCGAAGTCACGAATGGCTCCCGACCGAACTCCCAAGATGAGATATGATGAAATCCCGGTCCATAGTAAAGTTAAGCTGACATTCAACGACCGCCCGGCAAACCCAACCTCTGGCTTTCAACAGTCTGGGTCACTGGCAATGGAGATGTTTTTGTTTTTTCTGATTCTGTCCTTAGGCCGGTGGCTTTTGAGAATTGCCACTGCTTTGCGCGTTGCTCTGCAGAATGATCGATCCATGTAAGTGCTGGGTTCCCCCTGGAAGGGGTGCAAACGGCGGTTGACGAAACGGAACCTTCGTCTGCACTGACCGCCCTGCTCCAAGCGTCTGCTTCCTCCTCAGGCATGGCGCTCACGGCTGGATGCACCTGATAGAAGTCCTGAGGCAGTGGACTTCGGCTTAAGTTCCTCACAAACAGCCATCATAGTTCTCCACACCAGGAAATGCCTTCTAACTACCATGCAGTGCAAGGCCCAACATTCCTTTCAGCACGAACAAGCTGACAGCCGTGCAAGAGGAAACGAAAACCAAAACCCTGGCGACTCCTTCTCGAACTTCGTGAGCTTCTCCTGATGCGAAGTTTCGGATTTCGGGTTCTTGCAGGCGATGGCAGCTCCCTAAGCCCTAAACCCTCAGAAGAAGGTTCCCCAACAGTGGTGTGGTCAGAACGAAAACGATGCAATAGCGATCGTCTGTTGGTGCACTGAGAACTCGGGGCTTCTTACAAGGGAATACATGACAAATCTTATGGCTAAAGGACGGAGGTCTGCATGAATGAACACCTCCCATGCAAGGATTTCGATGACATGTATATGAACAAAGCATTGACTCGACGTAGCAGCTGTATTCGACTGACAACCAGGCCAACCCTACACGCTGAAAAAACGATTCCACATGTCGCCATCTTCCGTGTTTGCCCTACCCCGCCGTCTCCGGCGGCGTGGGAATTCCCCAACCCCCAAACGACGCAACCAAAACCTCAAACTTCCATCGCGCGAAACAATCCAGGCCTCACCCCAGCTGATGTTGCGAAGGCTGCTGCCCAGGTCTTTGCTATCATAGGAGCCGTAACCGCCGCCACCGCCCCTGTAACAAGCACAGTAGATACTGCAGCTGAGGGGGACAGGGGGGGGGCTGTAGGAACAAAGGTTTGTGATCTGGATTTTAAGTGTCGGGCACCTGAACGATCTCACACAAGGGGCAATATAATTTGATGTCTTAGTAAGCTACAGGCAAGCACTCCTGACAGTTGCACGCAAAATCACGACATGTTCGTCGCTGCGGGGGTGTGTCATCACTGCTCGCACTTTTTGCATGCCGCACCCTCCGCAAACTTGAAAGACTGACATCTAGAAGGTCACCAAAAATGAAAGTTGTGGATGTTGCGGTGTCGCTGCAAATCAATCGAAGCATCTTGCCTGCTGGAGCCATTGTCCCGACCCCGGTCACGGTAGTCTCGACCTTGAGAAGAACCAGGGCAACATAATTACAGTATAATTATCGTATATAGTTATAGCATTATAACTATAGTATAAGATACCCCAAAGCCCAATTAAACTGCGAAGTGCAGCCCATGCCCAGCTCTGACATGTCTTTTTGTCTCACACTGCGCGGTGCAACGCATTAGCCAGGCAGCCGGACCTGTCCCGGCACAGTGCAAAAGCAACAGCATCAACAACATGATTGCACAAAACGCCGCACCTAAGACTCGATAATCCTTACCGGACACCTTCGGATTCCATCGGAATACCCCAAGCCTGCTGGACAGAAGCCCATAGGCGCTCCACGCTGGAGTCAGAGTCACTGCTCTGTCCTGCATGGGTCTGCAGGATACAAATGCTCGCTTAAGTTTGCCCAAACCTGGTCTGGAAACCAGGCGCACAGGCTGGAAGGACAGCTCAAACGGGGTTTCGCTTCAAAAAGGGGGGGCTGCGAATGCAGCCTGAACATGTCAGCGATGGACCAGTAATTGGAACGGGTGCAGAACGGAAAAAAAAGGCCCACGTGGAACGTCATTGGCCAATCTTTGGAAGCCATGCCTCAGGCCCCTGCTTTCAAGCACCACAGACTTGAATGCAAACGAGCCACCCAAGAGGCCCAAGAGTCACCCAAAAGTTTTCAAGGCGGAATTTCCTCCAATCTCCCCCTTGCCTGGCCTTCAGGGGCTTCACTCCCGGGGTCGGAGGCCTCCTCGATGGTGTCGAGCATGGCCAAGCGGCCTGACATGCCCTGCTAGGCCGGTCATGTGCGACCCCCGGCCACCGCGAGAAGCCAGTAACTCACTCGGCCTAGGGCGTAGACTCGGAGCAAGCTATCTCAAGAAAGGGTGGCAATTGCTCCTGGCGTCACCTTGTAGGACTTTTGTCTGACAACCCTAGTCCCGTGCACTCCCGGGTGCAAAAGTGAACCCAAAGGTGAAGGACGGTGAGGCCTTTCCGGGCACGGCGCGCGCTTCTCCTGGCACGGAAAGCTACTGCATGCAGGAACACTTTAAAGGACGATGGTCGTTCGGATCTTTGAGCGACGGTCTCAGTAGCGGCTGCGCGCAGGGCGACCCGACCCTTCGACCCTCGTAGCTTTCCCGGGCCTCGCGTCCGCTTCCTCTGCGTCAACCTCCCAAAAGCTTGGGTTTCCGGCTTCCGGATCAGGTGCCATTGAGCATGCAGGGCTTGTTTACTCGACATCTTTACGGGTCTTCACTTCCAGTGCCAGTTGAAGCTATCACATGATGCCGAGGTGATTGGAGAGTGTGCGTCGTCCCATGCCGAGGAATCTCGACACACAAGCCCCTGATCATCACAGCAAAGTGATTAAAAGATTGAGGTCGGACCCGGCATAGCGGAAGTCGGACATTCTGCATGCAACCTCAGGAATTGAAAATTAAATTGCGGCTTGATGGGCCTCCCGGGGCCATTTATCAGTCGAGGGTTGCTTTTTGGTGCTGGGGTTTCGGATTCACGTCTGGCGGACACAGTGGACCCTGAAAGTATCGCTCAAAGGCAAAGGCAAATCCTGCAGCCTTGCAAAGCAATTAGCGTGCCTTGTCCGCCCAAGGCTTCTGCATTGGCCCATCCAAGTAGCCTTTGGAAAGGGGCATGATCTCAAATGAAACAGTCCGATGCTGTCAAACATGGCAGCGTATCCGAAACAGTGCAGAACTTCTGGAGGCCTTTGAGAGTGACTGCGGATTGGAAGTCAGGCTTATACTGTCATACGGCCTCATCCATTATGTGCAGGGTACTAGCCTAATACAAGCAAAGGCTCGGAGTACAAATCAAAGATGGTCAAGAGCCACTTGTATGCTGTCTATGCCCTAGAGCTGCCAGGTTGCTGTCGCCGGTGCCGGACCTCTCCGAACAATGTGCCAGAAACTCTTTGGCGTTTCAGGCTTGTGGCTTTCAGTCGATTGAAAATTGAAAAGTCGGACTCGCAACGAGAAAACATGGGAGTTTTGGAAAATCAGGTGCCCTGATAAACACACTAACATAGACGGAGCCGTGACATGCGGGAATCCCTACAGTAATTTTCAGAAGCGTACATGTGTTCTTCAACCACATGAGCTCCACAATGCTGACTGCTCTACAACCTGACAGCAAAGTCGCTGAAGCTGTGGGCTCAGGGGAGAAAAAATGAAAATTTTGACCCTTGCAGGGACTCTGTCGGTAACAGGGGTTAGATTTCTAACCCGTGGCTTCAAGGGTCAACGAAAGCAAATGCAGCCCTCGCAGTTAGATGCAGTGGTACCTCTACCTGACGAACTATGAATCCGAGAATCCTAGAATCCTCCAAAGAGAAATCCTGTCACACAGCAAGCCATATGATAATGAAGCTATACATATGCCATCTGCGAAATCTCAAACTCGCAGCCCGCAAAGAGCTGCAGCGGCCTGACGCTCCTCCACGGCTCCCCCACGGCTTGCGACGGGGCGCCGCTGCTTTGGCCGTGCTCGGGGTTCCTGGTCTCACCTCAGGCTGGCCGCCGACAGATTCCGACACCCTACCTATAAACTCTGTACACCCCCTAGACCCCCAAGCCCTGCCATGATCCGGGGACTTCTTGCCCGGGCCAGTGCAGCAACATCCTTCCGGCAAAACCCCAAAGTAGGATAAAGTAGGTAGGTGTCGCGAAGTTTCTGGAACACTGAGATGTCTCGAGAGTTGGTCGACAAATCCAAAGGCCTACAGAGCTGCCGAGTCGCGCAAAGCTTGATCGTGGGCACTTCAGGCTCAGCACAGGATCATACTCGACATACTCGAATTTCCCTTTGCGGAATCTGGGATAATCGGGGGGCGATTTTAGTAGAATTCACCGTTCCAATGCCGGGTTGCTTCTCGAGGAGCTCACGTTTGCCAAGCATGTGAACTCCATGTCGGCTGCCTCCGCTGACGCAGCCTGCAGGCAAACACACCCAGGATCGGACCAAATAATTGCTGGGAAGCGTCGTCCTTCGCGACAGATTTCCGTGTGACCATACCACGCAGTTGCAGAAACAAACGCTCAGAGCTTCAGCCGTCACTGGACACGAATGCTCGAACGATTCAAACAAGGCAATGTCAAACAAGGCAATGGGAAACAGCCACGAGTCTCTTTTGCCCTGGCCTCAGCTGGCTTTGCATCGCTGCTGAGGTGCTGCATGTCCTTGAAGGATGAACCCTACTCTGCCGACCACGCAGGCGCTGCTAATCTAATAAGACCATAAATGGATTCTTGTCTTTTTACCCATCACTGCAGGAGCGCCATCCCGACACGACAGGAGTAAATGAAGGCCATCAAGCCAATGAGTAGGCTGGATAAACATGATCAAGCAATGAGGTGCAAGCCTGTCCTGAAGTAGCCACAGCATTGTCTTAAGTGCATCCGAATGATAGCTCTGACCTTCCATGCAGCCTCCGGTCGTTTCACTTATCACTACTGCCAACACCCATCGCATGTACTATATTCACGATCAGAATCATCGCTATCATCAACATCATCATCATCATCATCATCATCATCATCGTCCTTATCATCATCCTCATCGTCCTCATCATCCCCGTAGTCGTCGAAATCATCGTCATCACTAGCCAGCTCGTCGTGTCTTAACAGGACTTCGCACATGCTGATACGAATAATGGCTGCAATCAACGTCCGGCGGATCTGAAGAAATACAAGCAATGGTCGAAGGACATGATGGGGGGTCTGTGCATACCTTGTGAAGCCGGCCGCGAAAGCTAGGTGAAGGGCTCGAGGCAACATGTAAACTGCACCGTGCAAAAGAACCCTAAGAAGCTTGCGGAGGGCGGGGCACCTTTACTCACAGAACCTTCAAGGAGCAAAACCCGTCTTAGCCGTCGAGATCGCGTTTGCGGTGCGAGGCCGGGGGCTCCCTCAGACCACCCTGCCCGGAAAGCCTTTTCATCCAGTGCCCTGCTAAGGATTGGTACACGACCACTCCCACGGCTTCTTCAAGCTGGCTTTCGTGGCAAGAAGCATGACTCGGATAGCAAGCATGAACTGCCACCAAGGTTCCGTCAGTGATGCGCGCAACTGCTCGGAGCAGGCTTGCAACCTGACATGTTTTTGGGCTTCATAATTAAAGCTCAAGCCTTGCAAAAAATCAAAGCTCCAGTCTTGAGCACATCGCAAATGTCGGGAGCAGCCTTTCGTTTGGATTGCGGGTTGCCGAATGCCCACGCGGAACTTTACGTGAACTCTCACTGCGAAACTAAGCTGCGACAAACCTCATACCCGTGTATGTGCTGTTTTCACCAACGACTGAATGATCTAAACGAAAGTTTCTTCGTAGCAACGAGCCAGATTTTATACCAAGCAATTAAAAAGCTATGAACCCGTGCCTCCCAACCTCTGAACAGCAAACCGGTCGGCAAGCCTTATAACGATGGTAATCTAACAACAATTATCAATAACACCCAAAACCTAAACCCCCAAAACTCTAAAACACTAAACTCCCATGACATCGTGGCACCTGAAAAGCGATGCCAACAGGGCAGCGGCCTCTGCCTGCCAGTGCACTGGCAGTGGTCGGTAAGCCTTATCTGGTAATACTTAACAATCATAGTAATAACTACAGTAACAAAGTAAGACTTAAGAACCATAGTAATGGCTAACCAACAAGAATCAAGAATAGCAAACGTCACAAATAATTACACAAAATATTGCTAGCAATTGTGAGCTTCCGCTACATTTCATCATGCATACGTTGCCCTTATTCAATCCATTGCGCTTCAAATTCCAGGAGGCTCATCCGTGAAATGTTGAAGCTGTCCCGCCATGTTCCTGTCCTCTACACCGCCATGACCAACCTCATAACCTGATAGGCACACCTTTAAGCACTTGATGTCATTTAGCTTATATGCGATAGATACGATCACGTTGCTACACTTCATGTGCCAACACTCGCTATGCTCCAGCAAGGGAATTTGTGCAAATTTCAGCACTCTCCAAGCCTGTACACTCACGGACAGCAAAAAGCACACTGCCGGATACACTGAACATTGGAGCAGTTGCACAATGAGCGGAATAGGTCGAAGTCTATGTATTATCTTACTCCCGTAGACTGTAGTCCTCGTCTGACTGTTCGGTAAGTTCGGTGTACTATCATACAGGTATACTGTATACTGTATACATGCGTTGTATCTAGGACTGTTCTTAGGTTCTAGTGACGTTTGTTGAGGCACACTGATGCGTATCATGGCATGATGCGCTCTTCCCATCGCACCTTGAGCCTTTTGGACTCTCGTAGAGCAGTAACAGTAGCCAAATGGCAAATTACACCTCCATGCGGCTAAGCCTTCTGGGACCTTCCCACCTTCAGCGGCGGCCCAAGCCCTCGTCCCGTCAGCCCGGGGTAGAATGTGTGGCGCATGGCTCGGCATGCGAACAACTTCAGGCTTTCTGGAAATCGAAACAAAAAAAGCTTAAAGAGTTCAAGCCTCCAAGTGAACCGAACGATGTAACTACTGGATATTGGCTGAGGCTGCTTCAAAGTTGGACCGTCGAGACCAATGCAACTTCTGAAGGCAATGCAAGAAAGCCGTGTCTGCCAAGGGCTCAAGAGTGATTGATGCCATACTTGGGATGCTATCTTGGTGGACCGTGGCATCACCAAACTTCACGGCCATGCCACAAGTGAAACTTCGGGCCAATGTGCGTAAATACACCTGCTACTACCCGCCGACCTATCCGCTGGGGCAAAGGAAACGCTTGATGTCGCCTACTGTGGACGATCTGCAGGCGGACCAACTGCTGCCACCTCTCCGTCTCAGTCTCTTTCGATAAGGCCCAGGCTGCCGGAGGACATGAGCCGGACCAGCTATCCAAGGCCTGGGCTTTTGGAAGGACGCAAGCCACAATATGTGTGCAATAGCCACAGGTGTTAACAACACCTTGTTTGTTCATGTTGGTGAAATGCTATACACAACCTTTAGGACCTAGGGTGGGATTGTGCGGTCTGGTAAACCGTTCGAAACCAATGGAATCATCTCACACAGGGTTTGTAAAACCGTAATTTAGAATGCTGTATACTATAAACGGAACTGTCCACTGTCCATCGTGGAAAAGAATTTTGGGGTATTTACAATCGACCGTCGCTTCTAACACAGCTGCAGCCGAAGCACGTCGGACCGGCAAAACCCTCACTGCTGGAATCTCCTGCAAGAACTACCAACATATGGGCGACACAACATGCACGCTCATGCTACATCTGAGATCATCTGAGTCCTTTCGCTGCTGCAGCGACGCCGGAGGAGATCCACTTGGGCCAAGTGACTGCGGCGCTGAGCACATCATCCGTAGATAGGCGACTTAAGGCGGTGTCGAACAAATGTTTCAATGATTATGTACAGCGCAAGCGCTGCTGAAGAATCTGGTCGAGGCTCGGTCAGGGGGTTGCACATTTTGCCCTTTTTGCGTCGGTCGACTTGGCGATTAGAACCGGCGTTCACAAGCACCGAGGAGGCCGATATACCACTCCCATCACTACAGTACTCCTAGCGTTCTGCGCAGCCCTAGAAGTTACGAGTCTGAGGGTTCACATGATAAGTTTGGAGGTTTGTTCGTGCGGAAGCCTTCCATTTAATTTGAAGGGCTCAGCTTCTTCATTGGGAAATCTGATCTTGCGTAGCCTTGGAAGCTAAAAGTCTGAGGGCTCAAACTCTTCATTTAAAGGTCTGCTCAGGCCTTCCAACATTACAGAATCCAAAGTCGCAATGTGCAGAAATTCAGCCCCTCCAGTTGTTAAGCAATACTTCCGCCGTGATCAATTTATGTGCCGCCCTNNCCCCCCCCCCCCCCCCCTCCCGCCCGAGCCTGTCAAAACATGCACCGCAGGCCAAAGCCGCATTTTTTGTCCGCGCATGCGCTCTGACGACGAAAGTCTAGAAGGATGTCTCACTGAGATGTGAAACAAATATGGCTGCACGTTCTGCCGGCAAATGCCCACGACTGAAAGTCAATAAACTCATCCCAAAACTTCAAATTGCTGAATGGGACATTGCGGCAAAACCAACTTCTGAGCACCGCCTGCTGATTCCAAAGTGTGAAGGCGATTTTCGCTTACACACCCTGGCAGGCTTCCAAGGAGCAAAGAAGCCATTCGGGCTGCAGATCACACACACGATTAATTTTTGTCGAAGCTGAGGCCCGGATGCACTTCGTCGCTGTATGCACATGCTAGGACCTGCAAGCATGACAGGGACCTGGATTATTGACTTTCTCCGATGCTCCGCAGTCCTGTATGCACCCACCACCCAAAGCCATCATAAAAACATCTGCGGAGTTATGCAGAGACACCCTCGTGCCTCAATCCAGGGCCCGTCTGGAGTGCACCATCAGAAACATGCTATAACGCAGGGTATCGCAGGGTCACTTGCGCAAGCCTGCAGTGCAGATTGCCAAACCGGACCCACCAGTTCATTCGATTCCAGACCTCTTCAATTTGCAAAACGAAACAGGACGTCTGAAAATTAAGCATCGGCCTGCAGCGTGGCTTTCTCACCTCAGCTCCAGATCGTTGAGCTGCCTCGCAAACAAGGGCCACACTACTGTATGGTCTTGGATCCACTTTTGAATCGGGGTTTGGTTAGCGACTTGTTACCTGCGTACCTACATACGTTACACTACGTTCATGCCTGCATGCTTACTTGCTATATATATATGTATACACATACAT